GTTAAAAAAAATTCGTTAAAAAAAAATCTCTAAAATTTGCTTCTCATCTAAATTTTGTTCTAGCAATCACAAAAATCGGAAAAATTTTGGAGGATTAGGAATTGTGATAACCTATTTGTCCTAGCATTTTTAAAAAAATTGGATTAGATTTGAATTTTTAAAAGGTGTACAGTTATTTATGACCCTGACTGTAAAACACTGTACTGTGTATAATTTGATAATTTAATCAAAATGATCGTAACAGTTTTTTTTCTTTAAAAAAAGGTAGGTTAAACGGCGAGTCTGCAAATAAAAATCAATCACCTAAACACAAAAAAAAGTAATAAAATTTTCCCAGTACAAACCAACACATCCTTTATTTAAGGATTTCTGATCATTATTTTATTTTTATGTATAAAATAGAATGTAATAAAACATGAAAGATAAAATTGACTAATTTTCTGTCTTACGCGCATTTTTGTGTCTATCTAACTACATAATACATACGTATCTAACGGACTTGTTAACTATTATATAAAATTAAACGTCAATAAATAAAGCGCAAATGTTAAACAGTTTAATAATAATAATTTGTCTAATCTACTTATTACATAAAATTTTACCAATATATTATAGAACTAATTATTATTACAAGCAACTAGAAATCGCACTTTATAATAATATGTGTCCGAATGTGTATGCTCTAAATTTCGTGTACGCATCTTGTATTATCATTGTATTCTTCTTTGCATTTTAGCTCATTGTATTCTTCTTTGCATCTTAGCTCATTGTATTCTTCTTTGCATCTTAACTCATTGTATTCTTCTTTGCATCTTGATTCCATGGCTGTGTGCCTTCCGCGATATAGTCGTGGGCATTGCGTACCGTGGTTGTATATTCTTCACAATTTGATTGAGTATGTTGACCCCACTGCTGTGTATTTAAAATATGACTTTTGGTTTCGTGGTCATATACTCTCTGCGAAGTATTTATCTGTTCCCGAAAATCAGGTTGTACATATGTATATTCGTTCCATGGCTGCGCATTATTTACGGTATGGTTGTAGTTCCATAACTGTGCATGGTTGTAGTTCCATGGATGTATATCCTCCACAACGTGATTGTAAGTTCCGGCTCCTAATGACATGAACGTACACGTCTCACTATCAAATGGAATAAATTGGTCCCATTGTTGATTGTTCCAGTTACATTCATCCATATTATTTTCGAAATTGCAAGCTCCCGGTGACATAACCGTAGACGTTTGAAACAACAGCTGGGTACTTTCCGTATTACGATCATTTTTTCTATCCACGTCAATATGTTCTTCACATTCTTGTTTGATTTTATCTAATAAACATTAATTATTGATCAGGTTAATCATGATATAAAAACCATTAGTTACGTATTGTATGTGATGATTACCGTGATCTTTGTTTTCTATAACTTCGAGTTTACATCTAATATTTTCTGCGCGTGATTTTATTCCAGAATTAACGCTACTTATGTAAAAAAATAATTAGAAAAAATGCATCTAGCATGTTATAAATATAGAAAATTTAATATTTACTTGATGTTTAATATATCGAAGCTACTTCTAGAAGAAAATTCTTTGAATGAAAATATTAATAGATTGGTTATTTGAAATATTATATCGTAAATTCACTCAACAAATACCTGATATTTGGCCACTCTTAAACAAATGAGTTGAGTTTACCGATAATCCAAGAGAATCTAACATAGGATTTAAGAGTCTGCTATGATATTTTGAATTTGGATGTTCGATACCAAGATCTTTTGTAAGTAATTTATTAAGTGCAATCAGCTGTTTTCGGTCCTTCTCTGCTTCTTCAAGTGATTTGTAGTTATATTCGGAGAGAATATTCTTTATTTCTTTAATATTTGGCCTATTCGAAGGATCAGGATCCCAACATTTTTGCATTATATCAATCCAGAATTGTGGTGTATCTTCTGCGATTTCAGGTCTCAATCCATTCAATATATCATTAATAAGAATTGCATCGTGAGCTCGGTTATAGAAAGGTCGGCGACCCGTTGTTAATTCCCACATAATCATACCTAAGCTATAAATATCTGATGCAAAAGAATATTTTTCTCCTTTAAAAATTTCTGGTGCCATATATGGAATTATTCCATAAATTTGTGACTCTCTCGGTAATTCCAATGAGTTTGTTGCTGGTTGACTAAATCCAAGATCTGAAATATAGGAATCATAACCCCACATCAATATATTCCCACTATGTAAATCTCGATGTATAATATTTTCATCGTGAACTTCCATAATTCCTTTTACAATATTTTTCAAAATAACCAGTTTTTTTCCCCAAGGAATCTCTGCAAAATTTTTTGATAATAATTTATGTAAGTCACCATCTCTAATGTATTGCAGAACAAAGGCATAGTTCTTCGACTCGGAGTCTTGAGTGACTCCATAAACGCTAATTAAATAATATATTGTTCGAGAATTCATGAATTTATATGTTAAATCTAGCTATAGCATAGTTGAAAAAAAAACGTTTAAAGAGATGTTTTGTATATAAAGCGTGATATGTTAAATGGTAATTACCTCCTTCAAAAATTCGACGTCTATATCTTGCGATTTATCTAGTACTTTTAGAATAACTTCCATACTACTCCGACGTGCGGTTCCGATTGCGTTTACACTAGTAATTATTCCTTTATTCCAAGTTGCTCTGAAAATCTGGCTAAACCCACCGTTGCCGATTTTCTCTATATTCCCAAATTCCTCGAATGGAATCCATTCTAAAACATGTCTTGTATCTGCTCTTAATTTCAAATGTGTACTTTTAATAAAATCATCAATATTTCGGTTTCCACTTTTTATAATTAGAGATTCAGAAAGATAACAAATACGACATAAACATAGACCATTTTTTTCAATAATTTTTCGATATTTCTTGCATTTTGAACATCTGGTTCTCCCCATTATTATTTTAAGTAGTTAAATAG